AGAGTAGGATATGGAGGTGGAACCGGTTGGGGCCGTTAAAAAGGCTTTTGGAACAATAATTTTCATTTTTTTCTTTTTTTTACTAGAATAATCAGGATTTTTGTTTTTTTTTTAATCACTTTTTTTTTTCTTCTCAATTTTTTTTATGGTTATCAAATGTCATTTTTTCTAGATCTACATTTTTCTTTTATTTTACTTATCCATGTTTTTTTTTTTTTTTTTTTTTTTTTTTTTTTTTTTTTTTTTTTTTTTTTTTTTTTTGCTTTTTTCTTTAATTTTCTTTTTCTTTTAAAAATGAAAATTGATAGAGAGGAGCAGAGAAGTAAGAGAGTGGTGGTGGTGTAGGTAAGAGACCCAAACGGATTAGATAATTGCCTTTCTTATAGAGTAACCTATTTACCTATGGGAGTGGATGAAGAGATAACCCTCTGAACGGGCAAAACTGAAGAAATAAGCAACTTTAATAATTTTCTTTCAAATATTTTGTATTTTGTAAATTCAGTTTTATTTTATACATTTTGCTTAAAGAACAGATGGATAAAGATTTGTGAGGAGATGTGAGAAGCAAGAGGGATAGTGTTCTTATATTTTTGTGTTATCAAAGGCATTTTTTATAAGTCTTTATTAGGACCATTTAACGGTAAAAAAAGCAATAAAATTAGATGGAACAAGGCATTAAAATCGAGACAAGAATTTCTCAACTAAAGGACTACACAAAATGAGATACAACTTTAATAATTTTTTCAATATTTTTATTTATTAAGTTTATACAGTTGCAGAAATGAAGATTTGGAGAGATGGAGAAGAAGAGGGATAGTGATTCTAATTTTTGTGTTATCAAAAGGGCATTTTAGTCTTTTATTAGGCATTTAACGGTAAAAAGCAATAAAATTAGATGGAACAAGCATTAAATGAGACAGAATCCAACTAAGGACTAAATATCTATTATATAAAAATATGAGGACTATTTAATTAATTTTGTAAAATCTCAGGACGAAATAATTATTTTCTATTAGCCTTTTTTTCTTATATTATCCTTTCTTTTACTTCTTTGTTTGAGAAATTGGTATTTTGCAATTTAATCAAGTTGTATGCCATGAACTAATTAGCCTATTCTAAAGATGTATGGATCTTCTTTAGCTCAATTGATTGATTTCAGATTATGTTTCTTTCTCTTGTTAATTAAATTTTTTAATTCATTTCATTTTGCTATATTTGAGATAATATTGCTTTCTTTCTTTTATTTATTTTATCTCTTATTTTCACTATATTTAGCCATAATTAACCATTTCATCCATATATTTTCAAAAGGAGATGATTTTATACTTCTGTCCATTTTTTATACTTTTGCACTAAAAGCCTTAGAAATAATTACTATTTTGGCATTATATTTTGTCAATATTAACTCTCTTATTCTTTTTATTTTAAAATAGACTATTTTATCCCAAAAATACAAGGACATGATAGTTAATTTCGATAAAATACAAGAACAAAATAGTCTCTCTGTCTCATTTTGTTTGCTTATCATTTTTTTTTTAAATGTCCCAAAATGTTTGCAAGATTTCTAAATTTATACACATAAATAATTATTCTTTCAATAATAACATTTATGATCGTTCATTAAATGAAAAATTTTTATTAATATCTTAATGAGTTAAGGGTAAAAAAGAAAAAAATAATTTTTCTTGACTAAATTCTTACGTGTTTTGCTAATTATACAAACAAAATGAAACGGAGAAAATAATAATTATATCTAAATTGTTTAATAAGAAAGTACAAAAATTAGACAAAAGAGCAATATAGTTTTGACAAATCAAATATTAGGGATAAAGTGATCTAGTTTTGAATAGAAAGAAATAAAATAATTAATTAGTGCAAAATAGAAGGACAAAATAGTTATTATCCCTGTTTTTTAGAAAAGAAAACAAAAATTTTGCACCTCACCTCAAGCTGCCCTTTGCGCCTTGCGCATTCATTGATTTAACTGCAAAATTCACGTTTATATATGCGTGAGACAGTTTATTAGTTGAACTTTCCATTCTTTCATACATTTTATTGTTGAATAAATAATTACTTGTACACAAACCAACTGAAATTACATTTTTTAGACCACAAAGTTTGTTTACATACTCATATCCCACAAAAAAAGAACACCCGCAAAACAAGCACTAACGTGTTAATTAAGATGTACAGAAAGCATAATCAGCGGAAGAGAAATGCGAAGGAAGCTCCAACTCAAGCTGATCCTCGAAGCATAATTGTCATCAGGAGACTCAATACCTATTTTATCAACAAACAAAATAGTAAATTTATGGTTCATATCAGACCAATAGGAGCTATATAATACATTATAAAATGAGAGAAGTTTTCTAAATCTATCAAGAATAATGCAATTTTACAGAAACCTGTGTCTATTCCAATCTTGTATTTGAATGCAGTACAAAAAAGTTTTGAAATACACAATAATTGAATAATACATTCAAATAATATTTCAAAAAAACTTTAAATAATACACAATAATTGAATAATACAATTCAAAGCTATATAATACATTATAAAATGAGAGAAGTTTTCTAAATCTATCAAGAATAATGCAATTTTACAGAAACCTGTGTCTATTCCAATCTTGTATTTGAATGCAGTACAAAAAAGTTTTGAAATACACAATAATTGAATAATACATTCAAATAATATTTCAAAAAAACTTTAAATGCAACAAAAACAAATAAACTCATTGGCTTGCACACAATTATGAATGATACTAACCATTTGAATGTCAATAGCATTATACCAATAAGTAAAACATGTTTATCCATAACTTTGTAGGAATTTAAGATACAAAATAAGGCTAGCAAAGTTATATTTGCGAGTGTATACCTGGACCAGTGGCTGGACAAGTGGATACAGTGGCAAGGGTTGTCAAAATATTTTGGCTGGAAAAGCCCGCGTAGGCACAGGTCGAGGTGTTGCAGCCAGTAGTTGTGGTGTTGCTAAGGAGTAAACTGGTTGCTCCATCACATCGCATGGAAGGACAAGTTGACCAGGTCGACTTGGCTGCTGGTCTAAATCCAGATGGCTCACATTGTAATCTGGTGAACGAAAGAAAAAAATTGTTTGGATCTCAAACTTCAAAGAAACTGATTTGACTAAATATTTCAATACAGGAAGATAGATGTTTGAGTAATACACTTACGTCCAGTTGTTTGCAGCATCACAATTGCATTTCACACAACTGTTGGCAGTGAAGAAGTAAGTGCCATTAGGGACAAGCAAAGGATAATCTATTGAGGTTGTGCTTACTGACGAATTACAAGCTGCCAATCAACAATAGAGCAACATTAATTCATACAACATTACAGGATAATTCAAAATCTTGAATAAGAAAATTGGAGAGAAAAGAAAGCACTCCAAACTGTCTACACATCTTAGTGGTCAGAAATTTAGGACTAGCTTGGCAAAGCAGATTATGGATTAAAAGTATAAAGAATCCTCATGGTAAACAAATAATAAATTCTTACAACATTATTTTTATGATCCCAAAATTGATTCTGGAAAAGACTCAAATATAATTTTTCCAAAATCAGCATTCATTGAGCTATAATAGAATTATACTCCTAGTTTTGGCTAATCTGTTACTTACAATAGCTATGCCAAACAGGTCCTTTGTATTTCAAGTCATAAATAACACATATAAAACTCTTCTCCAAAAAGCATGGGTCTCAAATACAGCTTGAAACTTTGAAACTTGTAATCGACGAACAAATACTTAATATTTATAATTTTTCATGTTTAATATAAGAAGCCAATTTATGCAAAAGTAGATATTGCAAATTCATTTTAGGTTTTTATTGAATCATGAGAAAGATCTATAATGGATTGCAGTTTTAAATTCTCTGTTTCCAAATTGAAATGTGCTTAAAAGCACATTCCTAAAAGCATTAGCAGAGCAATCATCCACCAATAATCAGGTCCACCATACCATAAGTGCAGCACTAGAAAACCAACTATACAATGTTTAAACTTTTCTTGTTTTTGAAAAATTGGAAATTCTGCATTGTTTATCTCAATCATTGAATAAAAAAAATACAAAATTTCAAGTGGGAATCTTTTGTTTTTAAATAGCAGTATGATGAGGCAATATGACAAATATGAAGAAACAACTAGGACCAACATGTCATGACTGTAACAGAGGACCCACAAATTAGAAGGAGCATTTTCTAAAGCTGTATACAACAATTGAATCAATTGGCACCATTGACAGAATACAAATAAGTTGGGGACCATATAAACTAGCGACCTTTTTGGGTTTTTAACTCTTTTGGACTACATTACTAAAGCTGTAATGCACAGCTGTTGGGATTTGGTCTAAATAATTTTTACTTCCATTCATACTGTATAGAATTTAGCCTTTTAGTTCTTATACCATTATCAATATACAATATGAGCACAATATTTTTAAAGAACAAATTGTTTATAATATAATTATTCAAGAATTAAAGTTAAAGTAAATTTTTAAAATTTTCGAAACTAAAGCATAATCAAATATTAAAAATTTACCTCAAGAATATAGAGCCACTAACAATTTTCATGTACCAAAATTCTTTAAAATCAACGCATGTCACCTAAAGAATATTAAAAGCTAAAAATAAAATAAAACAAGAACAAGGAAAAGGATGACAGTCTCAAATGAAGAAATATCCAATCCAAAAGGAGAAACTAATAAGATGACCATACTTTCATTGGAATCGGTAGGGAATTTAAGAGATAGGTGAGAGCTAATAGATCTAGTGCTGGATGAAATAAATGGAGCCCTATGTATTCCCTAAAGTGTCAGGCTATGAATGCTCGAGTTGATAGAGTTAAACTCTTACCCAACTCAACCCGTTTCCAACAGGCGGTTTCACGCATTTGATGGGTTGGATTGAGGAAAAAAATTCATAGAACCGCTGATCCATCATGGGTACTTAAATCGACCCAATCCGAAATATGTTTCACTAATGTAGATTAGGCTATGTGATTGTAAGTTCAGCTCAGGAAAGCTGAAAAAACGAGAAAGGAAAAAGAAAAGAGAAAGAAAACCTTTTAGAGGGACATCAAGAACTTGACCAGCCTTAAGAGAACTAGCATTTGTAATTGAATTAAGGGTCATAAGAGTAGTCATAGTAGTTCCGTACTCCTGTGCGATTAAATCTAGCGAACTTCCTGATTCCACCACGTGTCCATAATGAACTACTTTCTCTCCACCAACATCATCGCAGCTACACGGTAATGGAATCTGCAGCTCCTGCCCAACCAAAATCTTGTTCACATCCGGTATATTATTAACGGCCGCTATTTGTTCGTACGTCACCAAAGCCGAGAACACATCTCTAGCTATATGATCAAGCCCGTCTCCTGGTTGAACAGTGTAGATTGGTTTCTTGTTGGAGATGCCCGTCCCGTTGGAGCATTTGCAGGGGAAAGGGATCTTGATTGTCTGCGCTGCGGCTATGGTTTGGTTTGGTGAGGTTGAGAGAGGGAGGTTGTTAGCTCCGAGGATGGATCGGAGGTTTTTGATTGAAAAGAGGGTTCTGATGTCGGAGATAGTGGTGGAATTTGGAGCGACATAGTCGATTAGGGCGTTACATTGACCAGATGTGGTGCATTTGAACGGCTGTGACAACGAACTGGTTGCAAGAGCAGCGAATAATAGTAGGCTGAGAAGTAGAGGAGCAGAAGAGAGAATCATTGCTTGCTCGGTTTTAGTCAAACAATGTACAGCAAAGAAGGAGGAGAAGACGACTCGTAGAAGCGCAAAGACACTGACTGGAGTGGAGAGGAGAGGAGAGGAGACTTTGAAGTTTGAACAGAGTTTTGAATTTTCGTTGTTGGGCCCCATAATTTACTATTATTTATGAACAAGGCCCCATAAAAAATGACTAGTTGTATTTCTTAAATCAGAGAGACCTCACTATAATTTCGAAAAAATAATCATTATTTATTTTTAACTTTTGCTTTTGATTGTTAACTGAAAGTATATTACGAAAACACATTAGATTTTATCATTTGATAAATTTAAAAAAAATCCACAAATTTTAATTTTAATTAGAGTTTATTTTATTAACCAAATTTTATAAATTTCAATAATTTATTAAGAGAAACCAAAAATAAAAAAGTGAAAAAAAAAGAGACTAACCTTTGAGTGGAATATCAATAGTCGTTCCAGCAATAAGCTGACTATCATTAGCAATTCCATTAAGCTTAAACAGCACATCATCTGTAGTTCCAAAGTCCTTAGCAATTTCTGCCGTGGTGCTTCCTTCTTCAACCAGATGTCCATAATGAACAACTCTTTCTCCTTCCACTTCATCGCAGCTACAAGGCAACGGAATCCGCAATTTTTGTCCCACTGTAATTCTATCCGCATTTGGTATCCGATTAAACTCTTGAATTTGTGGGTAAGTAACTAAACCCATATATACGTTATTTGCAATATAAAACAAGCCATCGTCTTTTTGAACCGTATATATCTGTTTTCCGTCCGATACGCCAGTCCCATTAGAGCATTTGCAAGGGAACGGGATTTTGACGACCGCGTCTTTTTTTATAGTGTAGTTTGATGGGGTAGAGAAGGGGAGATTGTTTGCACCTAGAAGGGAGTTGAGGTCTTTGACACCAAAGAAATTTTGCAGGTGGAAAAGAGTGGTGGCGTTTGGAGTTTTGTAGCCAACAAGAGAATTGCAAGTAGAAGAGGGATTTTGAGTGCATTTGAATCCCACTTGGGCAGCTGATTTGGCTGCTAGAGAGAAAAGAAAGAGTAGATAGAGAATTTTCTCTTTAGAGAAACCCATTTCTAATATTGTTAACTTGGTAAAGAAAGTAGATACGATTTTGAGTGCATTTGAATCCCACTTGGGCAGCTGATTTGGCTGCTAGAGAGAAAAGAAAGAGTAGATAGAGAATTTTCTCTTTAGAGAAACCCATTTCTAATATTGTTAACTTGAGATTTGGGAATTTGGGTTTAATGGGTATTTAAAATGGCGGAGATTTGAATTGTAGAGGATGAAAATGAAGCGAGTGGTTTTGTAGGATATAAGTTAGGTTGACTGTAGAAATGTAACCTTTGACGAGGGTAGACTTTGACTTTCTCGAGTGACTTTGTTATCGTTTGCCTTAAAGTGTTCACATGGAAATACTGGACTGATATTTATGAATGTTTACATGGATAGATTTTTGTAGACTTTAGGGATTCTTTTACGACTATTTTCATTCTTATTCATTTATTATTATTTTTTAGAATTTTTGAAGATTTTAGGATTTATTTTTATTTATCAAATTAGAGATGATATAGTGATTTTTTTTTTTAAGTGATAGAGACCTAAATATTAATTTCAATATAATTTAAGAATTTATTTAAAATTTTGATGGTAATTGATGGAAAAAATTTTACTTTTTTAGATGGAAAGACTTAAGATTAGAAATCTTAAAATTAGTTTTTTTTTAAAGAAAAAAATGCAAATATATTAAAATTAGTTTTCTTGAAAGTACTAAAATTTATGTGTTAATTTCGATATAGCTTAGGACTCATATTTTTTTTTCTTTTATTAAAATGATGGAGAGGACGATTTTATATAGACGACACTCAATTTAGGAGTGTGCATCGGTTAATTTCAATTTTTTGACATGCACTGAACCAATTAAAAACTGAAGTAAGCAAAAATTTTACGACCAAATCCAAAGTAAATAGTAAACTAACTAAACTGATTCGGATCGAATTTGATTTTAATTAATTTGAGTTGAATTAATTTGATTTATTTAATTATTTGTGCAATAAAAAGTTTTCAATTAGCCACTATATGAAATCGAATTTGAATGAAAGTCATTCTTTCACTACCGTTAAAAGTGGAATTTAAATTAAATCAATAAAAAATAAATTAATTCAATTTGAACCTATCAGTTTTTTTTTATTAATTTCTATTAATATGCATCCCTAACAATCATTTCAGTTTAGATGATATTATTACGAAAATTATATTGTAGGTAAAATTTGCCACATGAACTTATTGAAGGCATTTTTTAGTCAACTACATTAAAAATTGTGTCTAGGCTCAATTTAAGCAATTTAGACCATTCATTATTATTATTATTATTATTATTATTATTATTATTATTATTATTAGGCACTACTTGACTTGTTCAATTAGCTGATCATATAGGAAAAGAATGCTTTCAAGTTGAATTATTATTAAATCAATAGAGTTAGTCTCTCTTTTTTCTTTTTTTTTTTTTTTCAATAATTGGAATTCAAAACCTTTGAAAATCACTTTGAAAATAATATTTCTTATTGCATAACACTGGCATTGTACGGTAATGCTAATTCCCACTTTTCCGATTACGTATTGACTTCGCTACAAACGCGTGGAATTAACAATGCGGCCGCCAAACACGGGCGACAAATTTATTTATAATTCCGTCTTCACCATAACATGTCAACAAGTCATTGCCAGCATAATTAAATTATTTCTCCTCCTAAATTTTTTACGGGAAAGACTTATGAATAGGGGTGGCCAAATTCCGTTCCCAGGACCAAAATTGGTGATTTGGAATTGGTCTGAATCGGAATCGAAATTGATGGCCTACAGTTTGATTCTGGTTCCATTATTTTTGGAACAGTGAACCAACGGTTTCAAAAACCGACTGGAACTTTCTGGAATCGTTGGTTTTTCTAGCCGGTTCAAATTGGCGGTTCTAAGAATATTTAAATTTTGTTTGTGACGGCTAGAACCGATGGTTCCAGTTAATTCTAGCAGCTTTTTTTTTTAATTTTTTTGTGAAATCCCCAAATTAACTCTCCGAACAACTATAAATGGCTATATAACAGGTAATTTCAAGGGTATTTGTGAAAAATTGATTTTTTAGATTTATTATATATACCTTATTCCATTTACAATCCCCTCACACAAAATTACCTCGACTCTCTCTACTCTATATTATTCCTCTCTACTCTATATTATTCTTCTCTACTCTACAATCTCTCTAATTTTCATTCATCAATTATTGTCCAAAATATTGCAAGATAATTTCTTTTTCAAAGTCTAATCTCCCAATTATTTTGTTCCATATTATTGAGATTAATTTTCTTTAAATTCCAATCTTAATATTCTATCCTATTTTTATCAATTTTCCAAATTAAATAATTCCTATAATGGCAAGTAGAGGAAATTTCAAGTTCCCGGTAAGGGCATAGGAAAAAGATTGAAGAAACACATATTCATCTTACTTTACATAACCGACATGCTTCATTTTCCACTCACCAACCAATATAATCTGACTAGGGATAATTCCAAATGAATTGGAAAATTTCCAACTCAAGAATCTAATTTTAATGGAGAGCTTTACAAACATAAGGACGGAAAAGGAAGAGCAAGAGCATAGGTACAACAAAGGCTTTTTTTTGTTTTTTGAAAGTTTTTTTGCAAGAAGCAGACGAAAGTTCCGATATACTTTGCTTACTTCATTTCAAGAAGAAATTCAAAAGGCGGCAAAATTGTTCGATATAATTTGGCCTTATGTGAAAATCTGAGTCAAATTCAAACAATTCAGGGCGTTTATGGATCATTTTGGAAGCATTAATAGAGGCAAACATCAAATAATAAATAGGGAGTTGATTTGGTCTCAAATAAATTTTTGGGTACGTATTCTATGACATTCGTTTTTTTTTCAATATTCTCTGAAAAACAACAAGAAGAATTAGCTCAACATAGATTTCTATGGAACATTTAATCTTTTAATTTTGGTGAAACAGTAGGTGATATAATCATATTGATCAAAAGACTTTAAATTTCTGTTGCTAACAGAGTGCCAAGAAATATTGTATAAAATGAACTACATCCTATTTTCTTTATATAAAAAAGGAAAAAAAAGAGTTAGAACTTTTTTAAGGTTTTCTGAAATTTTAAAATTCGTGTTTTCATTTTGGTTGTGATATTTGGATGAATCATGGCAAATTGCCTTTCTTATATTGGGTATAACCATATCATTGCGAATTGATTGATGCTTTGGAAAGATTCAAAAAAAAAAATATTGGCATTTCGTGGTGTTTTGGATGATAAACATACTGCAAATACTATTTATAGAATAATCATTTCAATTTTAGATGAATATAAATTGACCAAAAAAATTTTTTTAATTTCATTTGATAATGCTTCTGCTAACATTAAATCGATTATTGAACTTAAATCAATTTTTGAACCAAATATTAGTGGAAAATTTTTTCATATTAGATGTGCATACTATGTTTTAAATTTATGTGTACAAGATGGTTTAAAAGTTCTTGAATCTTTTATTTCTCCAATTAGAAAAGCTATTTCATATTTACGGGAGCATCCCTAATTGATGAAAAGTTGGGCTAAATTTTGCAAGGAAAATAAGCGTAAATTTTGCAAGGAAATACCAAAAAAAAATACCAAAAATGTTTTCCAAGGGATTGTTTTCAACTGTTTGGAATTCAACATATGAATTATTAACGATGTCTATTTTCATATAAAAATTATTGATTATTGTGCAATTTTGTTACTAACAATATTGAAGAAATTAATTTATATCCACAAAATTGGGATATTTGTGCAAAAATTTTGGATATTTTAAAAATTTTTAATGATACTACATATAAATTTAATAGGGTTTATCATCCCACATCTCATTTATTTTTGCCTATATGCATTAATATTATTGGTGCACTTCAACAATTTGAAAATGGTATTTTATTACAAAATTGTGTTTTATCAATGAAAAAAAATGGTTATCTTATTTTAAAAATATACCACCCCTTTTTCTTGTTGCTTGTGTATTTGATCTAGATGTGAATTTGAAGTTTTATTTGAATATTTGATTATTTATTACGAAATATTAAAT